CATATCAATTTTCAAAACAAGAAAATTTTCAATTTTTTCAATTTTCATTTTCAACACAGGACAACATACGGTATCGCAAAAACAAAATATTCAAAGTTATATAACAGGTATAGTCAAACCTGTTTTTGTGCGGTCCTTTTCTATGCGATTTTTTGTTTGTGCTATTTTTATAATACAGTATATGAATTCCAACAGTGTTGTTGTTTTTCAAGTGACGAAAGCGACTTTGAACCAGTACATCGCAAGACGATGCGCGTTTTGGACTACGACGAGTAGCAGTGAATTATGTGCATTGTGAACATTTCTCCATGTATGAGAAATTAAAAGGAATTATATGCGTCTCTTGCTTTTAAATCATTTATATGCGACTTAGTCTTTCAAATTTGGGAATTTAATTTCAAAGACATACGTTCGCGAAGGATGAAGCTACTCAGAATTGAATTAATTCTTTTGGTCATGGCGTCCTCATACGACATACTAGATAAATGCTTGTATCTGAATTCGGTAAATTTTATTGTTTGTAAATAGTATGAGGACTATTGGATACTACGAGGAATATTGTTGGTAATATGAGGACGTTTAAAAACAATAGAATTTACCGAATTTAGATATACCAAGCATTTATTTAGTATACAAAGATCGAAAGGGTTAACCCTTAGTAGTCCTATGTTGAGTCAGACTCGACATTCTATTTTATTGTAACCTCTACCTGTTTTAACAAATTTTTCTATATTTATTTGTAGTATCACAATTGTACCATTTAAAGGTAACATTTCAATGACTGCCAAATATTCTTGAATAAATAAATAGAGCGTCATATTAAGCTGTTATTGAATGAACTAACGTCAACGTGAACCTCAAAGTGAGAAACTAAGAGCACTTCGGACCGCAAAAGGTTAACACTAGAACTACCAGTCAAGATGACTGGTTCAGTTTTTTTTCGCAATTACTGATATCAGGAAAGCAATGAATATTCCAAGTGATTTTGAAAATAAATAGTTTCACTTGAATAATATAATGAATATCTGAAGAAACCGAAAATAATCTATTACAGTTTTTATAGAGATTACATATCGGTAGTTCTAGTGTTAAATATTCTTGAGTTATCACTTATTATTCTTGAACAAACGTGGTTATGTTAGAATTTTCTTTTTTCAACACTAGAAATATATACCAGTCAAAATGACTGGTTTCGATAGTTTTGTTTCATAATTATTAATATCTCAAAATCATCGAATATTCGAAATGATCTTGAAAACAAACAGCTTTGAATACTATAATGAATCTCTGAAGAAACCGAAAATAACCTATTGTTAGAATTTTTATAGAGATTTCATAACAGCCGTATTAAATCCTCGGTAGTTTTAGTGTTAATAGATTATCAACAGCAAAGTAGTTGTATCGGTCGAGAAATAAATTACAGGGCAAGAGGTTAATCGGCAAGGATTATTTTAAAGACCGTTATCCTGGAGCCGAATCTAAACGATGGCCCAGCACGCTCGTGTCTCGAATGAGAATCAGCGGAACTTCAAGTAACCGGCACGACAACGGTGTCCCGAGTTTCCTCGCGCAACTGGTGGCGCTAGACAGCGGGATGCTTGCTTTTTAAAACCTGTTTTGTTTCGCCTCGATACGACTTCCCGTTCCGGAGATATCGTTCGTCGAAACGAACGATCATTTTTAATAAACCCGCTTCTCCGTCTCTGTCCAATGAGATCGGAGTTCTCGCTCGCGCCCTGACCTGTCCGAAGCTCGGGGCACGTGCGCTGGTCAGCTACACAGACGTTGAGTCAGCGGTTTTTACTAGCACCGGTCTGGCGTACGCATTTCCTGGAAAAAAGAACCGGGTCACGGTATTCCCGAGAATCCACGGCCTCTTCTCATTCATCCCTCCGCCCTTCTGCATTTCGAATGCATACTTTCAAGCTCGATATCTCGGCTACCGGTGCATCTACCGAGGCGGAACAAAATGGAGATGCGAGGAATAGGTGTCTTCTATGTGCTGGGCATGCTCGCGTTAATGGGGTTTTGATCGTTTCCGGATTTTTATGAATAAAGTTTAGTGAGATTAGACAGTTTCCTAATTTCTAGTTGTCTGATTTCCAGTTTTCTAATTTGTAGTTTCCCAATTTCCAAGTTCTTGATTTTCAATTTCCTAGTTTCCAATTTCCCCATTTCTGAGTTCTTGATTTTCAATTCCTTAGTCTCCTGTTTCCCAATTTCTAAGTTCTTAATTTCCAATCCCCTAGTTTCCAATTTCTTGATTTCCAATTCTCTAATTTCCAATTTATTGACATTCAATTCCCTAGCTTCCAACTTACTAATTTACAATTCCCTAATTTCCAAGTTCTTGCTTTTAAACCCCTAGTTTCCAATTTCTTCATTTCCAGTTCTCTAATTTCCAATCTATTGACATACAATTTCCTAGCTTCCAACTTTCAAATTTCCAATTCCCTAATTTCCAAGTTCTTGCTTTCCAACCCCCCAGTTTCCAATTCTTTAACTTTAAATTCCCTGACTTCCAATTTCCTAATTCCCAATTTCCTAATTTCTAATTTCTCAATTTCCCGTTCCCTAATTTCTAATTCCTTGACTTCCAATTCCCTAGTTTCCAATTCCTTGACTTTCAATTCCCCGACTCCCAATTTCCAAATTTCCAATCCCCTAATTCCCAACTCCCCAGCACACGCCCCAAACCCCTACAAGTCAAAAACGAAACAAAATTCAGAACGTCCTTCCTTCTAACTGCCATTCTCCTTCATTCATTACTAGAAGTAACATCGCTCCAATTTACCGGTATCACGCATTTACGAGCACGTCACGACAGTTCAAAGGTGATTCACGGCTCGCGGGGACACGAGAAAAGCTCACCGTGCTCCCATAGCGCCTTCTTCCGTTTGTGGTAGCTCCTCCGCCATGGGTGTCGCCAGGCTTTCCTCGCGGCGACCGATTTATCCGGCAAAAACGCGGCGAAACTCCCCTCAAGGGTGTCCGGATTTCCGCAGATCGCGTGCGCCGTATCGCAGTAGTAACTGCACTTGCCGTGGAAGCAGATATTACCGGCGGGACTGACGAAGAAGGTCTTCAGGAGCTCGCCGTCGGCGATCTGATAAATCTCCGTCGTCAGGTTCAACGTTCTGCCGGTGACCGGCATCGCTCTGCGGAATCCCAGCAGTCTGCAAACAAATCGTTCGCAATGCTCGTGGAAACTGTTACTCTCTGTGACTCGATCCTCCTTTGGCCAGAAAAACTTTCCGATCGGATTAGGAAAACTCCTTAGTCGTCAGGGTTAGGTCTGAACCGAAATTACCGCGGTATTTTCTACAGTTTCTCGCGTCGAATCCAAGGGATTGTTCGATCGCGAATCTTAAACGAATATGCGAGTTCTATTTCTGATAGATATTTTGGAAATTGAATTTAATCAAAGTTCTGCACTCGAAGTTTCATTGAAAAATATGAAGGCAGTTGGATGATATCTTTTGTTGGGTTGTGACGTATGAAGGGGTTGATTTTGGCTGATCTGTAAGTTTTGCTTTGGAAAATGTTCCTCAGTGTATTTGCGATATCCCTTCGAGTTACTTTAAAAACTATCATCTATCTCGTAAGGAAATGATAAATATTTCTGAGGAACTTCCGAGTGCAAAGGGTCACTCGATTTAACGCAATGAAACTATGAAATCTGCTATTTAATATTGAACTTTGTATAATGCCTCGATATAAATAGCTTAGTTCTCAATGTACTTGTGATCTCCTCCGACTTAGTTTCAAAAAGTATCATCGATCTCATAAAAAGATGTTTAATATTGTTAACACTAGAACTACCGAGCATTCAAAACGCTTAATACATAATCCGTATAAAAATTGTAACAATAGATTCTTTCAATTTCTTCAGACATTCGTTATAGAGTCCAAGGGAAACTATTTTCCAAATCATTTCGGATATTCAATTCTAATATTTCTCCAGTTACAAGAAAACCGAAACCAGTCGTTCTGACTGTTACAATAGTTCCAGTGTTAAGAAACTTCCGAGTGCAAAGGGTTAATATCGAACACGACACGGAATTTCTCAAAATCCTGCCGCGGGAACCAGGAACAGACTCTAAAGGGTTAAATGTTTGCAGTCCTTTGATACCGACTTGTCCGAAGTTGCGCGTAATCGCAGGATCACTCGAGGGACGAGCGAATCCGGCGGCGATATTTCGAGAGCCCGGCAAACTGAAGTATTTTCTTACCTGTCCAAATGGAAGGCAGCGATCTCGGCCGTGTGCCTCTCGAAGTCGGTGAAATAGAAGTGATTCGGCAGTGTCTGTTGCTCCCGAGGAAACCTGTCGCAGAAACAAACGCTCGTTGTCAACCGAACACTCGAGGGCTGGCGGCGCGCATAAGGTCCCGCGGAGCTGTCGATTCCGATCGGCAACCGGGGAAATACTTTGATCCGTCGCAATGAATATTAACTCGGCCGTTGTTTCTTCCGTCGCGTCGGATAAATAAATCTCGGGATCGTTCCGCGTCGCGCAACGACAGTTACATTACGCTTCTATCGATTTAAAACGCGAGAAGACTGTCGGGACAGCGATTTAATTCGATAGCAGGGATGAACGTATTTAGACAATCGCTTTTAGCAATTCTTTGCCACCGGCTATTGTGATATTCAACACCTTGACCTGCAATATCGTGTCAGTCGCGAGGAAAGTTTTCAACTGATATTTAATACACTGTTGACAATTTTACTGAGAATTTATCTCGTGTCACTGGATATTTCGTAATTGGTTGTGGTAGTGGAACGATATAAATAAACTTTGATAGATTCTATTTATTATTCAACTTTCAATGATCCCTTCGAGAAATATCTGTTGTCCTTTTAACCGTTTGTGGAGGAAGACTCTTTAAAATACATAAAGCTTTAAAATACATTCGTTGCTAACTTAGTATTCCAAATATGAACATTTCATATGATCGAGATGTTGACATTCGTCCTGTGTACTGCTAAATCAATTTCTTGAATAATTTCTCAGATAAATATCTGTATCTTTTTAATATTCGCAAAAAGAAGAAATCAGGTACGTTTAGTGTTAAGTACTCGAACAGCAAGAGAACAGCACGTAGTTTCTCTTTTTTCTATTATTTAGAAGGTTTTGTATAATTTAAAGAATCTTCGTCCGCAAAGGGTTAATACTAAAACTACTGAGAAATTAAAGTGACTTATTTCTAATTTCGTTATAGAAATGATAACAATATCTTTGGAGATTCGAAGACTGAAGATTTATACCAAATACACGAGTTTCATTGAAAATCGGTTGCAATGACGTTTTTATAATTGAAATATATGCAGAATGAATATTCAGTGGGTTAGCTCGACTTGCATAATAGGCTTAGTGTTAAATATAAACGTTACTTTTCTATCAACATTTCGTTGACCTTCGTAGTGAACGTGGACATAAAATAAGCATTGAAGTTTATTCCATTCCTAACAAACGATTGATAATGCAACAGCATCGATTGTAGTTCAGAAATAAATCATAGGGCAAGCGGTTAATTCACATCGGAGAACCAGACTGTCAGTCACTGTCGAAACATTGAGCATCAAGCATTAATGGAATTCGTTAAAATCTTGATTCCCGCGTATAAAACTTGCATAAAACGTTTTAACTTCTATTCCCGTGGTTCTCGGGGGATAGAACGATGGTTTTTACCGTTTCGACCATTGAAAATAACATTTTCACCGGAAGGTAAGTACTCCGATGTCGAAACAATTCGGAACACGTTCTTCTCGTCCGAGAGGCCGCGCGATTCGCGAAAAAACCGTGTGACCCGGGCACGTGTCGAAACGTTTTTCCGAATCCGGCAAAGACCCCAGGGAAATTTCTCGTTTCCCGGGAATACTTTTCCGTTCAAGGGCATCGTCGAGGTTTACCAACGGGGACACGCGGCCTGGAAGTTCCCGTGAAAGCGCGGAGGGGCCGGAGAAAGTGGAAACGGAAAGTGGTGGCCGCTTTCAGCGACGATGAATCGCGTGACGAGGGAAACACGCGGTAAATGATACGTTTAACATTAACCGTACAGATTAAATGACCGGATCTAACACTGGATTCACGGAACAGGTCGACTTCACGGATATTGAAGTTTTTAACATAAAACAATCCACTTCCGATTTCTTTCTACTGTAATTATTGAAAAACCAACGGGCAGTGCTTTGGAAATACTAAAGAAACAGACTTAGCAATGTGGAAACTGAATTGTAAATCAACAGAAACCTCAACAGACGCACCCTCGGAGTTTCTACAGAAAAATTTCTAGAAGTTAATTTGACTCCTCGGTAGTTGGCTAATTACTTACAAGTTCACGCGAGTACGCATTGCAACGTTCTAGTTTCGAAGCTACAATTTTCACGATTTATATATGACGAACACGTAATTTTCTACGAACAATAGGATAAAGTTAATATATAAAGAAAATTAACCCTTTGCACTCGGAAGTTTTTCACTAGAAATATTTTAACATTTTTTGATGAGATAAAATCGATATTTTGTGAAACTAAGTCGACGGGAAATCACGCGTACATTGAGGAACAAAGCTATTTCTCAAAATGATGTATTATAGGAAATATAATATTAAATATCAAATTTTATAGTTTTACTGTATGAAATCAAGTGATGAGTGAGAGTCACCTCTCGAGTGCAAAGGGTTAACCCTATTCCTACTGCGACTAGTCAAATGACTGCTCTGTAGCACAACTTATATTTTTAATATAGAATGAAGATAATAGCCAATTTTACAATATATTTTTCTCAGAAAATAAACAATAAAAAAGGTGTGAATATTGAAGAATGATTTATACATATATTTTAAGAAAAGTCGTGAAGTATAAAGGTGATTTACGTTGTCTATAGGAAATTCTAATGGAAATTTTAAAAACAGTCATTTGACTGCTTGCGGTAGGAATATTATTATAATTAACCCTCTGCCGTATTATTTACTTTTGCTACTAGGCTCGTGCAAAATGTTTCTATCAGCAGTTTAGAAGAAAGGCAAAGAAATTGTCCACTGCACTTCATGTACAAATTTTCTTTCAAGATAATATATCGCTAATAACAAAATAGCTTTTTGCTTTGATCCATGCGCATTGAACAATATTCATGTTTATTAAACTAATCTCGAAATCTTCACCACGAGTGTCACTCGTCATTGTAAGGCAAGGGGTTAATTATGTTAGTCTCCTATAGGGAGCAACGTTTCCTCGAACCGTCGATCGGAAGAATCGAGTGGCTCGGGAGCGAATTAACTTGGAAACACAATTGCTCTGTCCAGGGTTTTCCCTGGGCTCCGTTGTTTCTCGAAAAATATTTTGCCCGTTCAAGGGCGCGTCACGTACGAGCGTAGGAGCACCGGGAACGTTGGAATCTAAAAGGAGACGATTTCTCGGGAAAACACAGCGATATGGGGAAAGCGTATAGGTGGAAGAAGCGTTTCCACCCGTCCTTTCTTCCCCCC